CCCCCCCCCCCCCCCCCCCCCCCCCCCCCCCCCCCCCCCGCCATCCCTCCATCGCTGCGTCCATCCGTGGCTTCCCCTGCGAGGCAGAGCGTGGGCGGGCGCAGCCCTCACCGCCGGTCTCCCCGCAGCAGGCCGCAGAACTCGGCCAAGGCGCGCTCGGTGTGGGAGCAGCGGGCCAGCCAGCTGCGGCTGCAGAACCTGAGGGCCAGCTGCGAGGCGCTGTACAGCGAGATGGACCCCGAGGAGCGGCTGCGCTATGCCACCACGCGCCACCTGCGGCCCGACATGAAGACGCACCTGGACCGGCCGCTCGTGGTGGAGCTGGGCCGCGACGGGCCGCGGGTCCCCGCCGGGGGCCAGGCCCGGCCCGAGGGCGCGGAGGCCGTGGAGGGCGCCGACCCGCCGCCGCGCAGGCACCACCGGCACCGCGACAAGGCGGCGGCCCCGGCCCCCGCCCCGGCGGCAGAGCAGGAGCGGGCGGACGCCCCGAAGGCTGACGGCGGGGAGCCCGGGGCCCGGGAGGAGCGGCCGCGGCCGCACCGCAGCCGCAGCAAGGAGGCCCGGAGTGAGCGCGGCCGCGGGCCGGGCCCCGAGGGCGGCCGGCGCCACCACCGGCGGGGCTCCCCAGAGGAGGCGGCCGAGCGCGAGCCCCGGCGCCATCGCGCGCACCGGCACGCGCCCGACCAGGGCAAGGACGGCGGCACGGCCAAGGGCGAGCGGCGAGCGCGCCACCGCGGCGGACCCCGGGCCGGACCCCGAGAGGCGGGGAGCGGGGAGGAGCCGGCGCGGCGGCACCGGGCCCGGCACAAGGCGCTGCCCTCGCAGGAGGACACGGAGAAGGAGGCGGCGGAGAAGGAGGGTGAGGGCGAGGAGCGTGACAAGGAGAAGGAGCTCCGGAACCACCAGCCCAAGTGAGGAAGCGCGCGTGCCCATGGTGGACCAAGCCGCTGGCCGGGGAGGGGGCCGGGGTCAGGGTCCACAGGGTTGGGGATGCAGAGCTGCCCAGCGGCCCCTGTTGCTGCTGGTCCCCCTGCCTTCTGTCTCCATCTCTCTTGTGGTGGTGACAATCCTGCCTTGATGGGGTGTCGTGTAGAACGCTTAAAACTGTTGGGGGGGGGGGCAGGGTATGCTCAGTGAATGTCAGCCATTAGTCCAAGGCACCCAGGCAGGAAAGAGGGCATGGGGACAGTTGTTGGGACTGGCTTGGGACATGTTGGCGTGGGAAGAGTATAGTGACCCAGGGAAAAGAAAAACGTGGGGAGAGCCCGAGGGAGGCCTAAGGAGGCCACTGGGCTGGCCAAATGGTAGAAGGGAATGGGGCCAGGCTGGGTGGCCATGACACAGAGGGCCTCCTACCCTTCCACAGCAGCCTTGTTCAGCCTGCTTCTGGCTGGGCCGAGATCCGACTCTGACTCTGTGAGCAAGCTGGGGTAACAGGAGCCCCCCGGACTAAGGCCAGTAGTCTGCAAGAACTCCTGCAGCTGGAGGTGACTATCGGGGTCAGCCCAGTCCAGGCACCATCTCTGTGCAGAGCCCTGTGCTGGGCCTCTTGGTCTGCTGGTGTTCTAGGCTCTCGGTGGAGTAGCTGAGGGAAACCCTCCTACCGGCTTCTTCATGCTGCAGGCAGTTCCCTTTCTATACACACTGTGATGCCAGCCGTGCCTGGTCTCGTGCCAGTGACGGACAGGAGAATCAGCCCTAAAAACATAGAAATGTACAAAGTGCTAAAAACCAGAGGAAATGCCAGAATAGCAGAGGAAGCAATTGGGGCTTTACTTGGTCGGCACGGGGGCACATGGACCTGGGTTTTGCAGACTGAATAGCAGTTGGGGCTGCATCGGACTCTGACATGCATTCTTGGTTGCAGGGAGCCACACTGTGACCTGGAGGCCAGTGGACCAGTGGGTGCAGGCCCAGTGCACGCCTTGCCCAGCACTTGTCTGCAGAAGGTAGAGGAACAGCCAGAGGATGCAGATAATCAGCGGAACGTCACACGGATGGGCAGTCAACCCTCGGACTTGAGTGCCACTGTGCACATCCCGGTGACACTGACCGGTCCTCCTGGGGAGACCACGGCTGTTCCCAGTGAGTATCTCCCATCTGAGTGGGGCAGGGCCCACCTTGTGCAGGCCCGGTTGGCTCTCCCCCAGCCCCTCCGTGACAGCTGCTTGGGGAGCCTGCCTGTGTGAACTCTCTCCAGCTGGAGAGAAGGTCCTCCGTGCTCGGCATCCGTGCCTTGCTGTCTCGTTGTTTTCCAGTGGCCCCGAGGAGCACTATTACTATTCCATGTCACTTAAGCGCTATTGTCTCCCTTCCAAAGATACTTGCAAGTTACCAGCTAAGCGCCAGGCAGGGTGTTAGTGCTGGGGGACAGCAGGAGGGAGTGGGACCAGGGCTGCCCTTGTGGGACTTATAAGTCTCATCAGGAAGATAGACCCTAGGGTGGTCATGACGCTTCCTAGTTATGTGAAAGCTGCTACGGACCTTGGCCCCAGACCCGATGGGGGCTGACAACTAGCCGGTGGTCTTCCCGTGACTTATGTGCTTTGTGCTCCTGCTCTGAGGTCCCCACAGGCCTTGGTCTGAGCTCTTCTTACCCCCCTCCCTCCCATACTCCTGACTGAGCAGCTGCTCCCTGCCCAACCATGTGCAGGCACTGAGGGTACGAGGCAAGCAAGAGGCTCTTTGTGTCTGCAGGTCACTCCGTCTAGTAGGGACAGAGAGACCTGGGGGGCTCAGATACAGACCCCTCACACTGTGTGTAGCAGGTGCACAGATGACTTGTGAGCACAAAGATAGAGCATCCTGGGGGCGGTTGGAGAGGGCCTGGCCGTGGAAGCTGAGCTCACATGCAAGGTGTGATGAAGTTCAGTCTTGAGAAGACCAGGTGCCATGCAATGCCGGCCCGTGTTTGCAGATGTGTCCACACACACACAGACACGTGCACACACCCCTCACCTCTTGGGCAGGTGCTCTCATCTGGGGCTTGGGAACCAGTGTACCATGCCAGGGGTAGCTGGAGCAGCCCACTCTGGCTGCTTTGGCTCCCCCCTGCCCTTTGCTTCCTTGTGAGAGAACTTTCCCGGGCCCATTCTCTGGTTTCAGCTCTCATGGATACTAATGGGTCTGTGTTCCCAGACTCCTGGTCTGCTTCTCTCTGGCTTAAGCTTGAGGTTGAGCCCAGGGTTCCCACCTGGCTTTTGTCCATGAGTCAGGTGCGGCCCCTCCTCCCCAACTCCTAGCAACCACTGATCTTTTTACCGTTTCTGTAGTTCTGCCTTTTCCAGAATGTCATATAGTTGGAATCATACAGTGTACAGCCTTTTCCGATTGGGTTCTTGCGCTTACGATGTGCATGGAGGGTTCCGCCATGTGTTCTCATGGCTTGCTAGCCCATTTCTCTCTAGCGGTGAAGAGTAACCCATTGTCTGGCCGCTCCACAGTTGATCCATGCACCTGCCGAAGGACATCTTGGTTGCTTCCAAATTTTGGCAATTATGCGTAAAGCTGTTATAAGCATCTGTGTTCAGGATTTTGTATGGACATACACTTTCAGCTCATTTGGGCAAACAGCTAAGAGCATGACTGTTGGATTGTAAGGTAAGGTTGTGTTTAGTTTTGTAAAGAGCTGGTAGTCCAAGCAAGTGGCTGTACCATTTGGCGTTCCCGCCAGCAGTGAGTGAGAACTGCTCCTCCAGCTCCTCTCCAGCATCCCGTTCTGTCAGTGTTTGTGTTTTTGCCGTTCTGATAAGTACGTAAGGGTATTTCCTTGTTCTGCTTCAGTTCCCTAACGACACGTGACGTTGAGCATCTTTTCATTTGTGTATTTGCCATCTGTATGTCTTATTTGGTGAGATAACTGTTCATACCTTTTGCTGACTTTTTAATTTTCTTATCTGAAAGAAAATTTGAGACTTAATTTTTTGAAGAGTAGTTTAAGGTTCAAAACAAAACAAAGAGGAAGGTACAGAGAGTTCCCATGACTCTGTGCCCCCACACAAACATAGCCTCCCCCATTATCCACATTCCCCATCAGATGCTGCGTCTGTTACCAGGGATGAACCTCCATGGACACATCGTAATCACCCAATATCTGTGGTTTACCTTTGGGCTTACTCTTGGTGTTGCCCATTCCATGGGTTTGGACAAAGGTACAATGACATATCGCCGTCACTGTAATATGACACAGAGTATTTGCCCTGCCCTAATAATTCTCTGTGCTCTGCTTCTTCATCCCTCCCCCTCCCCAACTTTAGCAACCACTTGGTGTCTTTACTGACCGTGGTTTTGCCTTATTCAGAATGCAGTATATTTAGAATCATATAGTACGTAGCCTTTTTAGACTGGATTCTTGCACTTACCAATATGTATTTAAGGTTCTTCCGTGTCTTTTCATGTCTTGAAAGCTCCTTTCTTTTTGGCACTGAGTAATATTTCCATTGTCTGGGTGTTCCACAGTTTATCCATTCATCTACTGAAGAACATCTTGGTCGCTTCTAAATTTTGGCAATTGTGTATAAAGCTGTTAAAAACATCTGTGTGTAAGATTTTGTGTGAACTTGATTTCAGCTTCTTTGGGCAAATACCAAGGAGAGTAAATGGCTCGATCATATGGCAAGAGTGTGTTCAGTTTTGTAAGAAACCACTGAACTATCCGTACCATTCTGCATTTTACCACTAGTAACGTACAAGCGCTCCCATTACTCCACATCCTTGCCAGCATTTAGTATGATCAGTGTTCTAGATTTTGGCCATTCTCTAAGTGTGTAGTGGCACCAAATTGTTTTAATTTGCATTTCCCTAATGATGTGTGATGTGGTACATTGCTTTTATATACTTATTTGCAATCTGCATTATCTTTTTGGTTAAGATCTTTGGCCCGTTTTTAAAATTAGGTTGTTTTCTTGTTTTTGATTTTTTAGAGTTCTTTGTAAATTTTAGATAACACTTCTTTTCTTATCAGCTGTGTTTTTTGCAGCTTTTTCCCTCCCGTTTGTGGCTCATCTAATTGTTCTCTTGACGTTGTCTCTCACAGAGCAGAATTTATTAACTTCAGTCCAGCTGATCCATTATGTCTTTCATGGCTCACGTGCTTGGTGGTGTATCTAAAAGGTCATCATAAACAAGGTCATCTAGGTTTTCTCTGATGTCATCCCCTAGGGGTTTCATGGTTCTGCATTTCACATTCAGGCCTACGAGCCATTTTGACCTAACTTTTGGGAAGGGTGTAATGTCTGTGTCTGCGTTCATTCCTACCTGCAGACCTCCGGGGTTGTAGCTCCAGCTGTTGAAGAGGTGGTCTTTGTCCCACTGACTACCTGTGCTTCTTTATCTTGATGATCAGGTGGCTCTGTTCCCGGAGTCTGTTTCTGAGCTCTCTACTCCCTTCTGTAGTTCTGTTTGTCAGTTCTGTCACCGAGACGGCACTGTCTTGACCACTGTAACTTTGGAGCGAGTCTTAAAGTTGGGTGCCGCTGGTCCTCTTTGTTCTCCTTCTGTGTTGAAATGTTGGCTGTTCTGGGTCTGTTGCTTTCCCATATAAACTTTAGAATCGTTTTGCTGATATCCATAAAATAACTTGATGAGATTTTGAGTGGGATTGCATTGAATCTACAGGGCACGTTGGGAAGAACCGGCCCTTTGGCAGTATTGACTCTTCCTGATCATGAACAAGGAACATTTCTGTCTTTACTTAGTTGTTTGATTTCATTCATCAGAGTTTCAGTTTTCCGTATGTAGGTCTTGTACATGTTTTGTTAGATTTATACCTAAGAATTTCATTTTGGGGGGAGCTAATATAAATGATAACATGCTTTTAATTCCAAATTGCATTTATTCATTGTTGATAAATAGGAAGGTAATTGACTTTTGTGTATTAACCTTGTATCCTGCAATCTTGCTAAAGTCACTTAAAAAAAAAAGATTTTATTTATATATTTGACAGAGATCACAAGCAGACAGAGAGGCAGGCAGAGAAAGCGGTGAGGGGGGTGGGAAGCAGACTCCCTACTGAGCAGAGAGCCCAACGCGGGGCTCGATCCCAGGACTTGATCAAGACCTGAGCCGAAGGCAGAGGCTTAACCCACTGAGCCACCCAGGCACCCCGCTAAAATCACATTTAGTGCCAGGAGTTTTTTTGTTGATTCTTTTGGATTTTCTATGTAGATATCACATTATCTGTGAAAAAGGACAGTTTTATGTCTTCCTTCCCAATCTGTATATGTTTTATTTCCTTTTCTTGCCTTATTACTTTAGCAAGGACATCCAACATGATGTTGAAAGGAGTGGTGAGAGGTGACATCCTTGCCTTGTAGACCTGATCTTAGTGGGAAGCTTCAAATTTCTCATCATTAAGCAGGAGGTGAGCTGTCGGTTTTTTAAAGATAGTCTTTATCAAGTTGAGAAAGTTCCCCTCTATTCCTAGTTTTCTGAGAGTTTTTGTGATTGATGGATGTTAGATATTGTCAAATGCTTTTTGCATCTATTGATATGATCAAGTGACTTTTCTTTTTTAGTCTGTTGATGTGATCATTCAATGATTTTCAAATGTTGGAAGGCCTTGAATACCTAGGACAGATCTCACTTGGTTATGGTATATAATTCTTTTTATACTTTCTGGGATTTGATTTGCTAATATTTTATTAAGAATTTTTGCATATTGGTTCATGAGAGATATTGGTGTATAGTTTTCTTTTCTTGTAATGCCTTGTCTGGTTTTGTTACTAGGGTAATGCTGACCTCATAAAATGAGTTAGGAAGTACTCCCTTTGCTTCTGTCCTTTGAAAGAGATTGTTGACAACTGGGATAATCTCTTCCTTAAATGTTGGGTAGAATTCATCAGTGAACCCATGCGGGCCTGATGCTTTCTGTTTTGGAAGGTAGTTAAGTTATGAATTAATCTCTTTAATAGATAAAACTCTATTTACATTGTCTAGTTCTTCTCATGTGAGTTTTGGCAGATTTGTCCTTCCAAGGACTTGGCCCATTTCATGTAGGTTATCGAATTTGTGGGCATAGAGGTGTTCATAGTGTTCTTTTATTATCCTTTTCATGTTCATGAGATCAATATTGATGTCCCTTCTTT